GGGGAATGGGAAGGAGGGCAGACAGCAGCTCTGGGCCTGTCCCCAGGGAGCAGGAGCCAGCATGGGGAGCCAAGAAGGGGCGCTGCTCACGCCTCAGGAGAATCTGCAACACCCACCCAGGGTCCCCTTGCCTGGGGCAAGTGGACGTCCACAGGGCAGAGCTGGCTGAGACGCAGTACCTGGAAAAGCACTGCAGCGGTCAGTTTCTCTCGAGTCCCCACAGGACGCGGATTTCCAGCCTTTCATAGCAACCTAGGAGAAAGGCTTCTCCCATGTGACCGTGTGTGCACAGGCACGGGCCTTGTCACTGGGCGCTCGTCCTCCTGACACAGATGCCCTCTCACATTTTCATTCTATTCCTTCCTCCTTTTAAATGCTGGTCATGACCTATTAAATTAATTTCACAACCCACTAACGGGGTGACGACCTGCACTTTCAAAAGCAGTGATCTCCGGCCGGCGCGGTGGCTCACGCCTGTAATCCCAGCACTTTGGGAGGCCGAAGTGGATGGATCACCTGAGATCAGGAGTTCGAGACCAGCCTGGCCAACATGGTGAAACCCCGTTTGTACTAAAAATACAGACATTAGCTGGGTGTGGTGGTGGGCGTCTGTAATTCCAGCTACTCTGGAGGCTGAGGCAGGAGAATCACTTGAACTCAGGACGTGGAGGTTGCAGTGAGCCGAGATTGTGCCCTTGTGCTCCAGCCTGGGTGACAGGAGCGAAACTCCATCCCAAAAAAAGCAATGATCCTGGAAACAGAAGCATCAGCACGTGCCTGTGGTCCACACTCGGTTAATCCACGAATCCTGAATCCACGTGTCACACACAGAGGCGCAGGCACTGCCAGGGCACGGGGCAGCAGCACCCTTAGGCCCAGCACCGGTGCTAGGCGACCCACACTCTGGTGGGCCCACACAGACAAGTAAACAGCAACGGCCACACAGGAAGGGGTTGGGGAGTGACGGGGGCTCGGCACGGAAGGGGTTGGGGAGTGACGGGGGCTCGGCACGGAAGGGGTTGGGGAGTGACGGGGGCTCGGCACGATGTTGGCACGTAGCTGGGCAGGCTGGGAGCGGGTGGCTGCCTGCATCAGGGCTGGGCTGGAGGCGGGCTCTCATCCGAGAACGTGGCCATTAGGATGGAATTAGCAGCAACTCAGTATCCACTGCGTCTCTAAAAGCCAAGTTATGAGAACACCATCATCTCTCAGAAAACCAGTTTATGGTAAAGGGTGAAATCTCCTGTAGTGCTAATTTACCATCCATGAGAGAACTCAGATGCAATCGCACATCTGGGATTGTAGCTCCCAGTTCTATGGTGTTTGGTTCAAGAGCCCAACTAACCTTTTCAGAAAGCTTTGAACACAGGTCACCACAGGCCAGCGATTCTATTAGGAGCCGGCTCTCCTGTTGTTCCCAGACTTTTCCTGAGATACCTGGGAAGACGACAGGGCCCACCCCGGTCCCCTGGAGTGAGCACACGGTCACTCACCGAGATCCACCAGCCCAGGCACCCGTGGCCATGTAAACAAGGTGCCCCCGCCATGGCAACGTGAGGCAAAGGCTGAGAGACAGGTCCTCAAGCCCCCGACACACACTCTCCCCCAGGAAAGCAGAGCCATCCCCTCCACCTATGAGACCTCACTCTCCAGAAGAATCAGGCTCCCTGAGAGTGACCAGCCCGGGAGGGGGCACCTGTCCTTCCCATGCTGGATGATGGAGTGTCCTGGTACAGTCAGACTCCCACCTGCCCATGTCCCTGATCCCTGCAGGTGCCCTTCCAGCTTCCACCAGCAGAGGCTTGGGGGGTCCCCTGCAAAGTGTCCTAACGATGGGAAGATCAGAGTATCTGAGTTTCCTGAGCTGAAAGCCACGCGGGGTCTCACACTGAGCCAGGTATGGCCTTTGCGTTGAGCAGACCAGGCAGAATCGATCCCACCTCCCTGGACTTCTGTCCCCCTGGCCACCAGTGGTCACTCCAGCTCGCCCAGCTGCAGTATTCAAGCATGTGAAACTGAGCTCCCAGGCCTGCGAGGCCCAAGGGAAGGAGAGTCCGCAGCCATCTCCGCCAGGCTCTCTGAGCACACCAAGCACTGGACAGGTGCAGCTACTGTTCCCCAAGCCAGGAAGGCTCGAACCCCTCTGGAATATCCCGGGTGCCTGGTCAGCCTCTGTCTCAAATGCCCCAGAACAAAGGGGGGCTCACTGTCTCCCGTGGTGGGCCCTGTGGGCTTGGACTGAGCTGACACAGAGAGCACCTCGGTTCCCCGTCTCTGCACACACAGAGGCCGTGCTGGCCAGGCAGACCTGGACGGACGCGGGAGGCTGGTTGGGCGGCCCTCGTCTGGTTCTGGGGAAGGTGAAGGGGTCCCTGATGAGACTTCATGAGAATGACTCAGGCACTGAAGAACTAAACGGGAGGAGGAGAGAGGAGAAGACATGCATTCTGGGTGAATGCAGGAGGCAGGGAGGGCTGGGTCCAGGGTTTGGGCCAACAGTGAAGAAAGGAAGATACCATGAAGCTGTCTGACAAGGCGTTCTCCAGGCAGCCTGACAAGCTGGGGACAGGCCACATCTGTGTCCCTCACTTACCAGCATGCGCCCTGCGTGCGGGGGGCTTCACTGATCACTTTAATTAGCGTTGCCCTTATCGGGGCCAGAAGGTCTGCCACGGTGACCCTGGGCAGAAGTGGCTGCAGAGCTGCACTAGGAGAAGCCTTCATGCGATCTGAAGACTCCGATGCAGCCCGGTGGGCGAAGGGCATCCCTCCAGGGGGATGCAAATGCTCTGAAGCAGGTAGAGGGGTGGTGGCACAGCACTGTGTGTCCAATGCCACTGAGCTGCTCGCTTTAAAATGGACTTTATGTTATGTGAATTTCACCACAATAAATTACCAAAAACCAAAACGTGACGATGCCAGCAGCCTCCAAGTAAGGACCCAATCCTGTTCCTGCCAAGCACTTCGATGCCTCCGGAAGGGCTGGGCCGGTTCCAGCCCTGTCACTGGCTCAGCAGGGCTGCCCGCGTCGAAGTGACGACACCTTTATCCACCGTCAGCTCTCACGGGGTCTGTGGACTCCCTGACTTCCCACCCCGGTGAACTGAGCAATCAACTCACAGAGGTGCATCCGAGTTCGCTCCTGAAGGGGTGCGGCCTGAACGCTTGGCCTGGGCGCCTCGTGGGCCTCGAATCACAAGGAGGAGGGGCTCATCAAAGCGTGACTGGGAAGTGATGGGTCACTGGCAGCTGGGACCCAGAGTGGCTCTCACACCCATCCCTCCAAAATTCGGGGCGAGGTGGCTGCTTATGTTGAAGCTTCTACGAAGGATGTGAAAGGCTGCGCCTGACCGGGGTCCACAGGCGGATGGAATGCACCTGCTGTTTGTGTTGCTGGAGATTCGGGGAGGTAGCGCAGGCCTGGGAACCCCAACGAGCAGGGACAGAGGAGGGCCTAGGCCTCCTCTGCAGGCAGGTAGCAGTAGGAAATGGTAGAGCACTGTGCATTTCACGGGTGCAGGACGGAATCATCTGCTTCTGCACTGAATGCCAGATAAACAAACCCTGACCAGGCAAGCCCAGGACCTCAGCTTAGACCAACCCACACCCCTCATCTCCTGTCCTGTCTGCATGCCTCAGGGTGGCACCGGTGCCCGGCCTCACACTCCTCCTGCAGGCCCACATTCCAGGCAGGCACTCCCAGGGAGCCCTGGGCCGCCAGCAAGGCTGAGTCTGCATGAACTTCCACAAATGCAAGAGGCCCCTGAGAAACCCATGGGGGGACTGGCGTGCTGCCTTGCCCATCTCACTGACATCCTGGCTGCAGCAGAAAGCTGTACGACTCCCAGAAGACGACCCTGACAGCCTCGAATTGTGTTAGAACCCCAGGGATCTGTGGTTCTCCTTGGAGCAACTCCACCAAATCGGCCTCTTGAACCGAGTGCCGGAACAGCCCAGCCAAGCCCTCGCTTGGAGGCCGCTCAGGCAGCAAGAGGAAGGATTTCCCTGCAGCCCAGTGTGAGGGGCTGCAGCCCCCTCTCTCCGTGCAATCCTTGGAGGGGCCACGGATGCCAGGGGCTTTCCGGATCCTTCTGCCCAGCCACAGATCTCCCTGACTTAACATTCTCAGAGCACGGAGCCCAGATCCATGTTAGGGAAACCCTCACCCACTCATGTCCTCAGCTTCCAATGCCAACTTCAAAGCAGGAGGAGCCAGGATAAGGGGGTACCACTCGCCAGTGAGAAGTCGAGGCCACCCCACACATGAATGGCCCAAACCCCATGCACGTGGGCTCCCCTCCTCTGCCCGCCTCCTCTGCCCCTCTGCAGGGGAAACTGCCTCAGAATCTGTGGCATGCCTGGAGGAGCTGCCTTCGGAAAAGGCCCAGGGCCACCCCGCGCTCCCCAAGCTTCTGCCCTTGGGAAGAGCAGCTCTAGAGACCCAGGTCGGCTGTGGCTTCGGGAGGGCGGGGCGCGCTGCATGCCCCACTCAGTGGGACAAAGGGGAGCTGAAGGGCCCTCCGGGTCTCTGGTGTGAGCAGCCACTAGGCCAGGCCCAGGGACGGAAGGAGCACACCCGGACGGAACCCGCACCCGGCTCCGTCTCTGCAGAAGCTCCCTGTTCCCTGGGGGAGTTATCAGAAGTTCATCCTCAGGACGGGCGGACGCCTCCTCCAACCGGGAGTCACGGGCACATCAGTCCCGGAAACAAGATGGCTCTAACCAATGGATTTCGGGGCCTGGTCTGTGATCTGACTTCTGGGCTGACCAGCCTTGCAGGTGATTCTTTATCCAGCTCTCAGCCCCCATGTACTCATGGACCCTCCGCCCCAGGACAGATGGTCAGGAATTCAGCCCCAGAGAGGGAGGTGGGGTCCTGCCTTCTCTGCACGAGGACAAGGTGAGCAGCTGCCACCCGTCCCCTCGGAGCCAGGGTGGCGTCGGAGGCCCGCACATGCCCCCTCCCCAGCACACACATGAGAAAGCCAAGGGCCACGTACCGTAGTGGTCTTTATCCTCCCGCCGGGCTGCGTGCACGTCCAGCCTGACCGGTTGATTAGCAAGTCGCAGCCTTCCCCCTCCAGACACGGAAGCATGTCACACCACTGCTTGGTCTTGATAATTCTTGCTGCGGGAGAAAAGAGGGAGGCGGTCAGCGTGCTGCTCTCGTGGATCGCGACGGTGTTGCTGAGGGGACCTGGGTCCTGACACTGGCTGGGAGGGCCCTCAGGCAATGCCCAGTATGGCTCCACCCGGGGACCCTCAGGCAGGGACACCGGGCCCAGGGGCTTCGCCAGCTTCCTGGTCTCCCAGTTTAGTGCTTGCTCCCCAAGTCCTGCTCAGCCATCGGCCAGTCGTGGAGCAGTAAGCAGTGACCGAGAGAGCTGGAGACACGTCCGTGGAGCAGAGCCGTGGCCCCTCCTGCAGCGTGGCTGCCTCACTCTCTCTCATCTGGAATCCACTAGAGAGCAGGGAAAGGCAGGAGGAGGGAGTTCCCAGTCAGGACGTCCTCAGATGTAGCGAGGGCGGGCCTGTGCACAGGGTGGGAACCAAGGGGGTCCAGACTTGGAGTCAGAGTGTGAGGCCAGGCAGGAGGTGGGGAGTCGATGCCCCATCCTTGACTGGAGGATTTTACAGCAGCCCCTGGCCCCCATCTGCAGACGCCCGGCGGACCCCTGGGGCTGGCCCAGCAGCAGCCATGTCAAGGCTCCAAGGTGAAAGGATGTGACCAGCCATGACAAAGCTCCAAGAGAAAAGGATGAGTCTTGTCATGACCCTGGACAGGGCAGGGGGCAGGGGAGGGCCCGGCGGATGGGGGCACTGGCCCCCCACCAGCACAAGGACTCTGAAGCCCACATCAACTCCTTCCATGCCACAGAGAATTGCATTTTCTCTCTTCCCTGGAAAGCCACCCCATTTTGTGGCTGTAGGGTTAGGCAGACTGGAGATTACTCTCTACCAGAAAGCCTGAGAAACAAGGACTTCACGGCAGAGTAAAAGCTGATATTGTATTAACATAACCTTCGCTGCAGGAATCTCAAAAGAACGATTAGTCATTTCTCAAACTGGGGAAAAACAGGTCCTTCCTAATGCACACGTAATTACTTTTATATAAACTGGATCTACAAACAGGGGTTGCCATCCTGCTGAAAAACATAGGCATGCAGATCAGACACCAAACACCTGCCAGGCAGTATTTTGGTTCAAGGTTAAGTTATAAACATGTACCTTTATAAACACAGGATTCTACACCAACCTTAACCCCATGGCTGGAGATCAGGGAGAACTTTGCAACTTACACGAAAAAGAAGTTTGAAAGTTTGGGTCCAAGGCTCTAGGAGAATGGATGAAGCTGTCACATATTCCCACTGCACTCGCTGGTGAACGCCATGCACCCCACGCTACGTGCAAGGTGGTTGGACTGCACGTGACTTGCTTCGTGCCAGTGCTGGGAGAGCCAGGGTTGGCCTTCTCCGCCCCTTCCTCACCCACTCACAGTTCCTGGGGCTCCTCACTGTTCTGAGCAGAGGCTTGGAACTCATCTTGTTGGATGCGGGCAATTTACCTATGAAGCCCCTTCCTGCTTTCCTTTTGGGTCCCTCCTTCCTGGGCTCAGTGTTTGATGGGTCCAGTGGCCCCAGGATGCAGAGAATCCAGGGTCTGGGCTGCCTCAGCTGCCAGCCTTGCAGAGCGGGGAAGGATTCTCTGTCACCCACACCAGGCCCAGCCTGCACAGACACCCAGGCCCAGGGCAAGACTGGCCCCCATGGCCCCCAGCCCCCACCTCCTGTCTGAAGCCCCAGTCCCTCTCACGACGCTCCAGAACTCTTGACTTCCCCCTCTCCTGAGTTTTCTCTTCCACGTCACCTCTTTTCCTTGTTTTAAATAAAGCACAGGACCCTCAATTTGCATAAACCAGAACTGCAGTTCCCCAGGATACTTGTTTACTTGAAAACTTGAAAAAGTTTCGGAGATTCCTCACCACAGGAGGGAAATGACTACTATCTAAACAGTTCTGCAAATGCACATGTGTGCACGCATGTGTGCTAACACACGGTCCTCCCGACACGCGGCCGGCTGGCTTCATGGCTATGCAAACAGACGGCTGCGCACGGCCCCAGGTGCAGGAGGGCCACTGCTTGGACAATGCTCTGCAGTTCCCATGTCTTGAAATTCTGAATAATTTTTAACAAGGGCCCTGCATTTCATTTTGCACAGGGCCAGCCAATTATGCCTCTGGCCTGCAGGCAGTGGCTGTCCCTGTAGGAGCAGTGGGCAGCAGAGGACAGGGTCCTGAGGGACAGCTCACTCCTCAACCCACGGGGGCGCGGGCCCTGGGGTCATCGCAGGGGAGGCAGGTCTGGGAGGTCTGGAATCTGTCATGTGTCTTCCCAGGGCCTCTTTTCTTGTCTGTTCCTTATTCCTGCAGAAAGCCGCCAGCAGCTGCATCTCCCATTCCGGATGCATCGTTTTGGGTGACAGTAAATATGGTAGAAAAATCTCAGACACCCATGAACACGAACCTTAAACCCACGAGGAAGCTACAGGATGAAACACACACGCCCCAATAGCAGAAATCCCCTTGCAATGCCTGGGAAAAGAGCTGGACAAATTACAGTAAGCATTGTGTGTATGTGTGCGTGCGTGTGTGTGTGTGTCTGTGTTGATCTGGTACCAACACTGAAGGACATGAAAGGAAGAGGCTCCGGTGTGGCTTAAAAGAAATCCCCATGTGTGCTCCCATCCATCCCACACCACAGCACCCAGGGTGGCCTTCAGTGCGGTGTGGCTCCTGCTCTCATCCTGAGCTGAACGGCGCCTCAGAAACCCCCTGGGGTTCCCAGTGCCTGTCCTGTTCTGCCCTAACAGCTAGACTGGGCTGTCTCAGGTGAAGTGAGCCCTTCAACTGCAACAGGAAGACGTTTCCGCGTCTGCCCGGGCCAGGTTTGGCCCTCTCTGCAGCACAAGGCAGGACCTGGGCCATCAGGAGTGAGGCCGGCACAGACCAGAAAACCAGGGCAGTGTGGGTGGCATCTGAGGGCAGGTCCTGACCTGCCTGCAGGGCAGGCTGTGAGAGGGTGGACAGGAGGTGGCCTGGACTCAAATCCTTCACTGCCAAGCTCAGCTGGGACCTTGTACCCACCCTGAAGCTCGTGCTCTGGGCTGGGAAGTCCCAGGAGAAGGACGCTGAGGGTGGAGACAGCACGGGCAGAAGCACCCCCCCTGGCACAGGGCTCGGCTGGCTGGCACCCACAGGCTGTGTTGCTGGGGCCCTCTCGGTCAGGCTAGGATGGAACCACCGGAGCTCACTGGGACTGTGGGGCTGAGGACAGGGGAGGGATCTGGGGCCATGTGTCAGCCTTCAGTATCCGGGACACACGCATGCTCCAGTGCCAGGCCCCAGCCCACTGTCCCTCTACGGAGAGGACCCTCATCCCTGCCAGCCATGATGTGGTAACATGCACAGTGCCACTCAGGGTCAGAAAGAGAAGAAGGAAGGAGGGCAGGGCGCCTGGAGCCTTAGGCTGGTGAAGGGGGCTCCAGCCTCACCTATGCTGTAGCCATGATGCCTGGCCACACACCACACACATACGTACCCCCCAGACACACGTACACATCACCCACATGTATACACCACACACCACACGCAGAGACATGCAGGCACGCACACAGGCACACACATGCCCATGTAAACGCATGTTCGCAAACACGTATCTACAGGCGCAGCACACACATGCACACATATGTGCAAGCACAGAGATATGTATCCTCACATACACCCACATGTGCACTCTCATGTAAACACGCATGTACATGCATGCAGGTCACTTTGTGGGCTTGCCTGCTCTCAGCATTTGCAGAACAAAGGGACAAGCAGGCAGCAGGCCTGCCCCATTCCTGGGCCTGGCCCTCCCGAGGGCACCAGCGGGCCGGCCCTGAGCACACAACACCTTTTGTTTGCCGGCAGGAGCTGGGCTCACCCACCCCAGCCCACTTCCTGCTGGAGGCGGCCAGAGGCACAGTGCCGGGCCACCATGTCCTGGGGACAAAGGGTCCTTTCAAGCACACATTTCACAACTCCCTTTCACCCGGGCACGGGTGAGGAGGCCTCTCCTCTGGTCCCAATGTTGCAATAGCTCTCAGGGAGGGGAAGGGGCGTCCGTGGGGTTGACAGAGTTTCCCGAGATAGTGTGAGTGATGGTGACTGAAACCTGGGCTCTGGCAAACAAACGTCATTGCCCATCCACATGGGCTAACCTGGGGGGTCCTGAGCACACAACAGGTAAAGGGCATGGTGGGTAAAGGGCACAGGGTCTCATGCATGTTTATGTCCGCAGTGCCTGTCCCTGGGCCGGTAGGAGCAGGTGCTTAGGACGTGGCTGGAGAAGGGAGCCAGGGAGCCCCTGCCTAGGATGGAAAGGGGGCATAGGAGTGCAAATCAGAGGGGGTTTGTCCAGACTGGATCTAGAGTCTCACTGATCTCGAGCCTCTGTAGGACCCCACAGCCCCCGAGACCCAGCCCAGCCAGGCCCTGGGCCAGCAGTGCTCTTTCTCCAGCTGAAAACACTTCTCCAAGGTACCACTCAGCCCCATCTTCCATCCCACACCATGCTCTCCATCACACACACATACGCCATTCACACATGTAGACACAGGCACACACATATACACACCACACACAGCCACATGTCCACACACAAATGCACACACGCACATACACACAAGTCCACTGTGTGCCCTCTTGCAGACTCACTAACTACACATGTGTATCGTCCCTGGGGCCACCTGGCTCCCTGGCAATGAGTCCCCAGGTCTACGGGGGGCTTGGCTCCTTCCACCACTCCAGGTCCCCTCTGTGTGCACATTCAAGCTGCCTCCCCAGACAGAGGCCGGCGCCCGCTCCACGGTCCCCCACCCCCTGGGATGACGCAGCTGCTGCACCCAGACCCTTGCCAGTGGCAGGATAGAAACCTCGGGCTCCAGGAGGGCAGAGTGCAGAGTGCAGAGGACGCTGCCCAGTGCAGGCTGGGACTGGGTTTCAGGGGAGGGAGGGAGCCAGGGCAGGGCAGGAGCTGGGCCCTCCTTGAAGTCTCAGAGAGGAGCAGGCCTGGTGACCCTGCAAACAGC